CAGGAAGAAGAATGACTTGTTGACGACAGAGATGTATCATTATGTATCAGTCTAACAAGAAATGTGAACTGAGAGAGAGGGAAATTATTATTGTTGTTCTTTTCGCATAAGGCTTTTGGGCACAGTAGTCATAAAGGTGTTAATAGGAAGCTTCCAGCAAGCATGATTTTCATTGTGATTTTCATCAAGATTTTCATCTTGTGTTTGGCTTTGTGACATATGCATACAGCTGTATTTTTTTATAGCTTGCAAAAATTCTAATAATGATAAAAGTAATAATAATGATAATTATAACTAAAGTTTTAAGTAGTTGACTGTGTATTTCAAATTTCAGTGTATTGATGTGAAACATGAAAATTTTATTCGTTATTTGCAGAATTATAATGAAAGTTTTGCTTGCATTCTTGCTGTTAATTATGATTTTGATTAATTATATTTTACATCATGTCAGTCTGTTTTTAGCAGGAAGACTAAATGACGTAAGCTTGTATTATCATGTATCAGGTAGAAAGCAATTCATTCTGCTTGTTTTTGAACAAAGTTTTGCTTGCCTAATTCAGTCATTATTGTTGATATTTTTTAGCTTTCTCTGTTTTGGAAGAATGGATCATATATAAAAGCTTTGTCCATTAATCTCACAGTTAACCTTACCATAGATTATGTGCACAGATGGATGTAAAAACTTGGTTTTGGTTGTGGTTCATACAGTCAGTGACTATTCTTTACGTAAATATTTTTATTAGTCCTTTTTTTTCTTAAATTATTTTTATTTTTTATTTGGCTAATATTTGAAACAATCTTATAAGCTTAAGCTAAAAGCTACAGGTATTCACAATAAATGGGTTGTTAATTTGCAGCATTTAAGAGCTAAAAGACTATTTTTAATTATTTAACTCAGTGTTAGTTCAAGTGTGTAAAAAATGATATGAGGCTGTTCTCTTATATATTACCTGTGGATTTCAATTAAGCTGTCTGTTCTTTACTGTCCCTTCCTATTAAGGTTTTATCTTATAGGACTCACTTCTGTTGGTCTAAGCTATAAATAGATACATTATGATTATAATTGCTAAATAAGTGGTTGTGATTATTTATTTAATTTAAAAATAGTTGTGATGTTTTATTAGTTCACTAAATGGTAAACATATTTATTTTGATGTTGACGTGATCTAGGTGTTGAATGATATTAGGCTATTTATATATCTATATATCTTTATTGTTAATATATTTTTATAGTATTTAAATTTATTATATATTCTTTCCTTACTATGTACCTGTTACTATATCTTTTCTTTTTGTATAATTGAACAGTAACATTCACAAATAAACACCATCTCTGAAATTGCACTAACAATGACATTCATTTTGATCTGAAGTTATCTTTATTTAAGTTTATTTTCATATGTTCTTTTTAGATGCAAGATCAAAAACACCACTACTTGTCCCCTTCCTTTTACAATAACTTAAATACAAAAATCTGAGCATTCAAGGGTGTTATATCCTCTGGTGCTTTTGTGTATACATTATGATGGTTATTGTGACTGAGTATTATTCATAAAGTGTTTATTTGATTTGATTGATGCTGTGTATATAATGTACTTGATATTCAAGGTACTTGAGATTATATTTGCTTTCAGTGGATCAATGATATATAATATTTTGTCAGAAGTATGTTGTGTTTTCCTCACCTATGCAGTTTTTTCTTCTTTTTAACAATACTTTATACAAATACTTTTTACTTTTAGAATTTACTTACAGCTATATTGATGTTGATGTGTTTACCAGTCTTATAATTATATTCATCACAAAAAGTAAGCAGGAGTAAATAATAATTATACTAATACAAATTATAATAGTAATTCTAATGATAATAGTAATCACAGTGGAGATTATAAATGCAAATTGATAGTAATTATTTTAACAGTATATACATAGTGAGCAGGAACAAAAGAGCAACTCTTAATTCAAAAGTGATGTCATTTTGTTGAGTAAAAAACATGGATTATGTTTTCCTTAATAATGAAGACTTATTACAGAAGAAAGGAAACAGACATAATCACTGTCTATCTAATAGAGAAAGTATATCCTTAGGTCTTAAGTTATCTTTGTTTAAGTTTATTTTCATATGTTCTTTTTAGATGCAAGATCAAAAACACCACTACTTGTCCCCTTCCTTTTACAATAACTTAAATACAAAAATCTGAGCATTCAAGGGTGTTATATCCTCTGGTGCTTTTGTGTATACATTATGATGGTTATTGTGACTGAGTATTATTCATAAAGTGTTTATTTGATTTGATTGATGCTGTGTATATAATGTACTTGATATTCAAGGTACTTGAGATTATATTTGCTTTCAGTGGATCAATGATATATAATATTTTGTCAGAAGTATGTTGTGTTTTCCTCACCTGTGCAGTTTTTTCTTCTTTTTAACAATACTTTTTACTTTTAGAATGTACTTACAGCTATATTGATGTTGATGTGTTTACCAGTCTTATAATTATATTCATCACAAAAAGTAAGCAGGAGTAAATAATAATCATACTAATACAAATTATAATAGTAAGTTTAATGATAATAGTAATCACAGTGAAGATTATAAATGCAAATTGATAGTAATTATTTTAACAGCATATACATATTGAGCAGGAACAAAAGAGCATCTCTTAATTCAAAAGTGATGTCATTTTGTTGAGTAAAAACATGGATTATATTTTCCTTAATAATGAAGACTTATTACAGAAGAAAGAAAACAGACATAATCACTGTCTATCTAATAGAGAAAGTAGAACTTTAGTTATTCTATACCTGTATAGCATTATGTTAATTTTTTTTTTCTTTGGCTTTTGAAGCAATTGTTCTTAATGATAATAGGCATAATTACAATATCAGTGATGACAACTTCAGTAGATACAAAGAACAATATCATTCTGATAGCTACAGCAATCATTTTGATGTTGAAAAGAAAACTAGTGTTGACAAGGAATATGTGAAAATATACTGGACCATGAATGAAGACAGAAATAAATAAAAAGGATAAAATGGCTGGCAGAAAGTTCCACTACCATCTTTCAAAATTTTTGTTTACCCCCTTAACCCATTGCTGCCGGGGAAAATTAATAAAAAATGGAGAAAATGCTCTGCTCATGTTTTATATTTTTTGTGAAATGACTCAACACATAGATGGCTCTGCCTTACCTAATTTCACCTTTCCTTGAATTAACGGGAAAATGTATTTTTTACTAGTGCTATGAATAACGATGGTGTTATTTTTATTATAAACATTATAATTACTATAATGTTATAAACATTAGTAATAGCAAAATAAGACAACGTAAAATATTTTCGTAAATTAAATAAAAGGGTAAACGGGCGAGACAGGCAGTACTCGTAATTGGCTCATTGGTGATTTAGTACAAGTGTAGCCATCTATGTGTAAGAACAATCAAACAAGTTCATCGTATTCCAAATGAGTCTCGAGGAGGGCATAATTTTTCACACTCACAATGATGAAGGCCTGTGAAAAGACACATGTTAAACCTCATTAATTTAAACAGTTTAGTACAGGCAATAACTAATACTTATTAGAATGCAAATGAATATAAGATGTTCTTGTTTTTTTGGTATATACATAGGTTTTTATCCCCCCCCCCACACACAGTTGTTGTCGTGGGGGAGCTTAGGAAACGGGGACTGAGGCCCATTGTGGGGGATCACCACTACCTTGGTCCTCAGCTCTCGCCTCAACTAATTTTGCATGGTCTTTTCTTCTTTCATTTTCCTCTTTTTCGTCCCCTTGTTCTGTCCACTTACCCATATCATTCAACTCATTTTGCGCCGCAATACTTTTATCATAATGCTCCCTACTCCCCTAACTCCTTCCCCTTCTAACAACCTTAACCTTATGCTGTATCCTATCAGCTCCCCTTCTCTATCTTTTTCACTACCATACTACCCTCTAGTACTGTTCAACCTGTAACTTTACCGTAAGCATTAACTCATTTTTAACCCTTTTCGCTACTCTACTTTACCATAGCGCCATTTGACCTTTGATGCCATATAGCACTTTGTCCCCAAGCCTTACGCTATCATAATGTTTTGAATACGCCGTTAATGATCTTAGATGTTGATGCGGCAGAATTTTTCAGTAAATAAATACATTATCCAATGTCGATAATAGGAAGGACGCTATAGGAAAATTACCTATCGACACTACTGGTAATTTGAATTTTCCATTTCTCAACGAAAAAAATCTGATCCTGATATGGTAGCAGGTAAGTACTTCATTACTAAACATTTTGAAGTTGGATAAGGTTAGTATGGTTGATTGTGCTATAAGTATACCTTTTTCCTGTTTTAGTATTACTTTTTTACGTAATCCTGTAGATTTCATAGACCAATCATTTGAATAATATGGTACAGTAAATAACCTTTCATGACCATCTGAAGCATCGATGTCACAAGACGTTGCATCCGTGGATGTGCTGCGTGGAAGGCTTGGTATGTGCGAGTCACTGTTATTGCATTAAATGTGTGATATTTTAAGAGTGTTATGTGAGATATAGTAAGCAATAGTTCGAAACAGTAGAAATAAAGACTCATGTGAGAGCCATACAATAAATACATATATATCTGTGGTTGCATATATATTTGTGTGTGTGTGTGTTTGTGTGTGTGTGTGTGTGTGTGTGTGTGTGTGTGTGTGTGTGTGTGTGTGTGTGTGTGTGTGTGTAATTAATTGTATTCAGTGCCTAGTTTTTGTTCTGTTTGATTATTACAACGGAATTTCCCTCCAAGCTGCATTTTTTTTTCCTACTTGAAATAAAGAGCTGCATTAGCTGCAATTCATGCGATTTTACTAATGTCAGTAGTATCATTATTATCATAACACTGTTTATTTATCTATTTCGATTGAAAGTGATTTCCAAACCCACTAACGTTAAAAAGTTTAAAATAACTTTATAACAATAAAAATAGGATGTAGAAAGAAAACATTTCAACAGTGCTTAAGACATTTATGATTTTTGTGATACACAAAATCTACAATGGTCATACGCAATTACTTAAACTCTGTATCCTGCCACAACTCAATAAATTATAAATAACATGAAATGTTGAAGCAAGCAAGCAAGCAAGCAAGCAGCATAAGAAAAAAAGTCTTTAAATAAATATACCATTACAATCTCATTAACAACGTTTTCAAAAATTAAAACATTCGTACGTAACGTTCACAACGGATTCAAAAATTCAAACATTCGTACGTTACATGGAAGTGAAACGACGATATTACAACCACAGCAAGAAAAGAAACATAGAAATGTGTATTTTTGCGTGTCTTTTCTTCCGTCTTTTTTTTCAGTTTCCACAACATGTATCACCTGCAGGCGTAGACAACCAAACTAAGATGAAAGCTTATGTTGCAAAGCTGTTAGTCCTATCGCTTGGGCTAAACTACTGGTCAAAAGCCCTAACGTTTTCCTGCAGTTAGATTCGTGAACGTTCCTTATTTTTCCAGTTTGCTCTATACCATAACTGTAGTGTAAAAATACTAAACATTACCAGTGAAACAAAACAAACAAACAAAAAAAAACAGCTTTGCAGACTAAAATCTATTTTATAACTAGATTAGTACTGATTCGTATTTCTTATGAAGAAACTTAAAGAAAAAAAACAATAGTCACACATAACTTACATGGGCAATTGTATCAACTGTTGATAATAAAGAACATGTGATGCTGAGAGTAAAGAATATAAATATATTAATAACCATAAACAGTATAACAGTAGTAACAACACCAATAATGATAATAATAATAGTAATAACAATAACAATAATAATAATGATAATAATAATGTTGTGATGATGGTAATAATAATAATAATAATGATAACAATAATAATGATAATAATAATAATAATGATGATGATAACAACAATAATGTTTTAATGATAGCTACAAGGATGATAATAATGACAATAATAATGTTATTAATAAAAGCTATAAACATGATAATGAAAACGATAATATTAATAATAATAATAATAATAATAATAACAAAAACAATAATAATATTGATAATAATAATAATAATAATGATAATGATAATCATCATCCTCATCATCATCATAATAATAATAATGATAATAACAATAATAATAATGATAATAACAATGATAATAATGATAATGATAATAGCAACAACAACATCAACAATAACAATAATGATAATAATAATAATAATAATAATAATGGCAAGAATGATATTAATAAGAGCGATAACAGCAATATTAATGGTAATAACAATAATAATGATAATGATAATAAGAATATAAACAACAACAACAATACAATTAATTCACTTTCTTGCTTTTCTTTTGGTGTAATTGGCTCCATACTAAATACTAACTGTAAAATAGTTATAATATTGTAACAATAAGCACAAGGATAAAGCAACGGAACACTTTAATTCGATATAATAGTGAAGAAATTATATGCAAATTAGTTTCCATGAATGATGTGGAAATGATAACATGATCATAGTAATAACAGCAGTAATAATAATAGTAACATTGATAATGATAATAAGATAACTAATAATAATGGTGATGACAATAATGATGATGATAATTATAATAATAATAACAATCATAATAATAATAATAATAATAATAATAATAATAATAATAATAATAATAATAATAATAATAATAATAATAATGATAATAATAATAATAATGATAATAATAATAATAATGATAATAATAATAATAATAATAATAATGATAATAATAACCTAACAACAACAACAATGACAATAATAATAATAATAACAACTACACTAATAAACATCCTTACTATTACAAATCCAATAACATTTATAATAACAATGATGACATCAGTAAGTACTTTAATAGTGATGCTGATGATAATGACGATTATGAGATGACCGCTCAGTAATAAAGATACAGCAAAAACAACTTTTTTTTTTTTCTTTTTACCATTATCATATGCTTTAAATCTTCCCTAGAAGAAATAAAAGACAATAATAATAGAAATTAAGTCATAACATGCAAGCTGTCTACATTACCTACTTGAGCAAACGTCTTAGCTTAATTCTTTTTTTCCGTATTTTATCATTAATATATATAACCTATTCCGGTAGACCACTCCTTACGACCAACGCACAAGGGATACAAACGTATAATTATTTGAACAATCGTTGCATACAATTTGTAACGAAGTTATAACGAGTCTTCCGTAGCAACATCAGGTATGGAAAATATTCGAAAGAGCAAAGTGAAAGGAAACATTTCTGTGTTCTTTCTTATCTTAGTCACGCAGGAAGGATGGTGTTACGCGCAACTTCCCTCTACAAGATTGGGCCAGTTGCAAATCTTGGTTTGTTGGTCCCACACAGTGCCTTCCCTGCAAGAGAACTCTACAGGCTCTCCATGGACACACCAGTAGTACTGTGGATAAAGTTATTTTGATATTAATATCTCAGAAAAAAGATTATTTGGGAACGCATTCACCAATAGATTCATCTATTTCTCGATTTGTTCATTATAAATTTTCACCTTACCTTATTACACATTTTATGAGGGTAGTACTGCTGGACACTGCAGTCGAACTGGCCTGGAGGCAGGGAGTCGGGTGCAGGGATATTTACGGGCGGAGAAGGCGCAGCTTCTGCCGGAGGAAACCCAGATCCTGCCGGAGGAGGCGCAGCTTCGACATCTGTATCTGGTTTCATGCTAGGTATGGGCGTGGTGGACGAGGGGTTCCACGGCTTCCACCAGGTGACCTTGGGCGTGGTGGTCGTCGGTGGGGGCGTGGGGACGACGTAGTCCTTCATGTAGTCGTGGAGGACAGTGATCAGAGGGTTGACGGAGCCGCAGGTGCCGTGGAAGTCATCCATGTCAATAGCCCAGGTCATGGCCCCGCCGTAGCCGTTGCCGATGATGAACTCCATCTTGATTTTTAGGCTCTCTACGTCCTCGTAGCCAACCCACTGATCGCCTGAGGAGGGCAGTCGGAGGAGGTAAGTCATTGTCATAAATAGAGTATTAGGATGCATTCCCCCCAAAAAAAAATAAAAAAATAAAAAAAAATAAAAAAAATAAAAAAAAAAAACAAAAAAAAAAAAAAACAAAAAAAAAAAAAAAAAAAAAACAAAAAAAAAAAAAAAACAAAAAAAAAAAAAAACAAAAAAAAAAAAAAACAAAAAAAAAAAAAAAAAACAAAAAAAAAAAAAAAACAAAAAAAAAAAAAAAAACAAAAAAAAAAAAAAACAAAAAAAAAAAAAAAAAAAACAAAAAAAAAAAAAAAACAAAAAAAAAAAAAAAAAACAAAAAAAAAAAAAAACAAAAAAAAAAAAAAAAAAAAAAAAAAAACAAAAAAAAAAAAAAAAAAAAACAAAAAAAAAAAAAAAAAAAAAACAAAAAAAAAAAAAAACAAAAAAAAAAAAAAACAAAAAAAAAAAAAAACAAAAAAAAAAAAAAAACAAAAAAAAAAAAAAACAAAAAAAAAAAAAAAACAAAAAAAAAAAAAAACAAAAAAAAAAAAAAACAAAAAAAAAAAAAAACAAAAAAAAAAAAAAACAAAAAAAAAAAAAAACAAAAAAAAAAAAAAACAAAAAAAAAAAAAAAACAAAAAAAAAAAAAAACAAAAAAAAAAAAAAACAAAAAAAAAAAAAAACAAAAAAAAAAAAAAAACAAAAAAAAAAAAAAACAAAAAAAAAAAAAAACAAAAAAAAAAAAAAAAACAAAAAAAAAAAAAAACAAAAAAAAAAAAAAAAAACAAAAAAAAAAAAAAACAAAAAAAAAAAAAAACAAAAAAAAAAAAAAACCATTCATCTCTTAACACCCACGGACCTTATGCCCTTTTCTCACCTCATAGTAGGCCAAGAAGCCCTTTGCCCCGGTGTATGGGCCCTTCTTTCCTCCTCCCTCCCACTTCTTCACAGGGGCACGAAGGCCGTTGTTGTCCTTACTGCCAAGGGTGAAAGTCCTACCGTAGAAGGGCACGCCGACGATGAGTTTGTCTTTCGGGCACCCGAGGTCTACCCAGAGTTTGAGTCCGTCGTTCTGTGTGGAAATTGCTGTTTTTTTCAAAGATGACATAAAGGCAAAATGCTTGAAGGAAAAGAATACGTAAATCAAAAATCTAAGAGTCGTTTGTAGGAAAAGGAAGTTAATTTAAACCTTTATATACAAATGATTTTAATGATTTGTGATGGTGTATCCTTGCACTAGGAATTTGGTTTTGTTTCAAAAGTGCCGCAAGAAAGGATTTAATGTTTTGCTTTTGTTGGGAACGCATACGAAGATTCCTCCGCAGTTTTACATAAAGGCTCCTGACTAACTAAATTTCATGGTTCTAGCGTCCGTAAAGGAATGTGTTTTTCCTTGAATTGTATCTGATCCATAACGATACACAAGATAAAAATTATAAAGATATTTCAGACAAAATATTTTGCTAACAGATCAGATCTATGAGTTCAAAGGACATTGCTATCAAGAAGCTTCACCTTTAAGCTAAACTAAACTAAGAAAAGAAAAGAAAAAAGAAAGAAAGAAAGAAAGAAAAAAAACACAAAGACCACTTACGACATTGAGGGTCTCGTAAGCCCACTGATCGAAGGGTCTTTTATACAGAGGTGAATGAACGTCTGCGAAGCCAGCCCAGTTACCTCGCAGGTCATACGTCATCACGTGGATTGCGTCGAGCAAGCTGGGTCAGAGGTGGTGATTAATATAAGTAATATGTTGCCACGTGCAGCTCGTTTGATTAAAGTTTAATGAAACTCATGGGTTAATATCTCATAATATTCTGCATATCTCTATGACTTTCGTTATATGCGTCTTAAAATACATAATTCTCATGAAAAATCTAACTGTGTACAAGCATTTCGCAAGATTATACCAAACCACTTTTTATAAATTAAATCATATGTATCTCCAGATACATGCATACCACGAAAACAAAATCCAAATCTTCTACTTTTTTACTTACTAGCAAAGCTCCTGGACATGATAGCCTTCTTGTAGACGGAACTTGGCCACAGGAACCGCCATAGAGATCTCCCAGCCTTTGTTCTCTTTGTCGAAGGCTGTTCGTAACTCTGCCACAAAGTCCCTGTGAATGAGGAATAGAGGTGAATGGAAGGTCAATAATATGCCTTGTAAAGGAGTTCATATAAATGGGGAGAATGACACAGCAAAAGTATAAATGTGGAAAACACTGGATGGATATAATAATAGCAAGATACTATAGAAGTCAATTATACCATGTTCGTATGCCTTGTTTATCATGTTCTCTTTTATACAGTTATGTAAAATCTGATTTTAATGCCTCATCCATCTTTTATTTCAAATATCTTTATGCTAGAGTGACCAGCATTAAGTCGTGTCAGTTCATGTTGAATTATTTCAGGCAATGATTAGTGTGAATCTCTCATACTAACCTGAACGTATCCTTATCCTTGAAAGTGCCGCCTCTGTCTGTGGCGCCGGGGTATTCCCAGTCCAGGTCGAAGCCATCAAAGCCATATTTATGCATGTATTCTGTACGGTAAAACGATGGAATTTAGCTATTTCAGGATCTGTTGTAACTGTTACGGTTGGAGGGTTAAATTACAACAGTAATGGCGATGGATAAAATATATGGATATCATTAAAAAAGAGACGATTGCAGGAGAGTGAGACTTGTATTTCAACAAACTTACGGTAGATTGCTTTGTTATTCATGTATGGATGAGTTGTTATGGACAGGTAGATTTTCATTATCTAAATATTAATTTGTGCTTGTTTGATATTTGGAACAGAAAGAAAAGGTAACGATAATGAAAACTGCTTCAATTCCCACATGCACGTCAAGCTAAATGATAATAATGTTATCAATACTTACACTTCTGATAATAATTTTAACAACAATACATAAAAGAAAGAAAAAAAGACATCACCACAATTACACACACACAAAAAAAACAATACCACAAATTCACAGAATCGATAACAACTCATTAACACTGTTAATAACGGAGATCCTCGCTGGAATAAAGATACTTTCACAATAGAAAAAAATAACAACAAAACAGCAAACAAACAGAACACAACTGAGACAAGAACGAACCGAAAACAACAGCAACAACAACTCACGGATAACGCTGTTAATAAGGGAGGTTCTCCTCTCGGGAACACCTGCCATCTGCGAGTACTTTTTGCCTCCCTCGCCCCACCCGCCGATTGCAAGCATGGTCTGGAGATGCGGCCACTTCTTCTTGAGGGCAGTGAAGTTGCCGAAGCCATTCTTCTGCACGTCGATCTATGGGGTTGAAGGGAAATGAAAATGGAGGGAAGGGGAGAGAGGGGAAAGGATATAGAGGAGGAGGGTTTATGAGTAAAGGGTTATGTGTTGGTTTGTGGGATTTTGAAAAGGGCGATATCTTTTAGTTCTGTTCTATGCCTTTATATTTTCATTTATTTTCATTAACTGATCTACAGTTGTGTATGTACATACATATATATCACTCAGATTTTACACACATGCACGTATGTGTGTGTGTTTGTATGTGTATGAATGCGTGTGTGTGTGTGTGTGTGTGTGTGTGTGTGTGTGTGTGTGTGTGTGTGTGTGTGTGTGTGTGTGTGTGTGTGTGTGTGTGTGTGTGTGTGTGCGTGTGTGCGTGCGTGCGTGCGTGAGTGCGCGTGCATGCATGCGTGTTGCATGTGTCTTCGTGGGTGTGAATGTGCGAGTGGGTCTTATCACCTGCATTTGTGCGTGCATATTTGTGTGTATGCGTGTTTGTCACTGCGTGCGTAACTGAGTGTTTGTGCATAGCCTCCCCCTCACCTCCGGGTCCAGCACGAGCACCTCCCACGTGACGTTGGAGACGCCGATGAAGGAGTACACGATGTGCGTGCACTTGTCGCCGGGGATGTCGTCGATCGTGTAGCTGCCAAGACCCGGCCTGTAGATGGCCCAGTTGGAGAAGTAGCACACGATGCGGGCCTTTCGGTCGGGCAGAGTGGCCATGCCCACAGCCACGGCCGCCGCTGCCACGGCCAGGCCTATCCACCAGGCCCGAGTCATCCTGGCGAAGGAAGAGAGGGAGAAAGTTAAAGCAAAATGAAATGAAAAATAAGCGATGAATATTTCTTTAAAGACATTGGAGAATGATGAGACACGTGTACTCTTTTATGTTTATGATAATGAGTGAGATACATAAATAGAAAGATGTACAGACAGACATATATATAAAGAGAAAGAAAGAAATAGATAGACTGAGAGAGAGAGATAAAGAGAAAGAGGAATAGGAAGAGAAAGAGGAAGAGGAAGAGAAAGAGGAAGATGAAGAAAAAAGAAAAAGAAAAAGAGATTTTTGAGAGAGAGACAGAAAGAGCGAAAGATAGATCGATAGATAGATAGAGACAGATACAGAGAGTATCCATCGGCTTCATTTTACTATAACCCCAAGCAAATACAAACCGAAATTCAAGCTCCCAAACGATTAAACAAAACATTGTCACAAAGCGCAGGTATTAAATACAAACACCGTAACATCAAGGGAACAAAGAAATCACGGGGTTGGTAACAAAGGATTGCATAATGACATAGTACACTCCTTATAGAGGAATGTTAGGGACAGAGTGTACACTGTACTTGCTACCGGTTTGCACAGTTCACTTTGTCCCAAGAACAGACATTCCATTGCTTCTTGACTCTCTCTCTGTCTGTCTGGCTGTCTCTCTCTCTCTCTCTCTCTCT